TCTAAATAGTGATCGGAAGAATCTTCATGTTATTAACAGGGTGGGCGAATCAACTTTGATGCACAGATTGACAACTTTGCAAATACAAGGGAAGAAATTATCTCCTTAATTGGTGTTCCTGCGGCTCACAATTTGTTTAACAAGTCCCTCTTTGTAGTTGAACTAGGCTCAAATGATTTCCTAGATAACTATTTGACACCTATATTCTCAATTCCAGAAAGGGTGTTGGTATCTCCAGAATCATTTGTGGCCACCTTAGTATCAAGACTCAAGCTACAGCTCACAGTAATTTTTCCAATAACCTATAAAATTTTGTTTAAAATATGTTCCAATTTTGTTTGTTGATCACGTTCTAATTACTATGTGCAGAGGCTATTCAGTCTAGGGGCCAGAAAAATTGTTGTGGCAAATGTAGGACCTATTGGGTGCATACCATATTTGAGGGATTTTAACCCATATGCTGGAGATGAATGTGTCACTTTCCCTAATGAGCTAGCTCAGTTATTTAACACCAAATTGAAGAGCCTTGTTGCAGAGCTGAGGACAAAATTGGAAGGGTCATTATTTGTTTATGCAGATGTTTACCATACTATGGAAGATATGATACTGAATTATAATGAATATGGTGTGTTATGATTTATTTTTTAATTAAGTGCCCAAAATTGCATGGTCCTTCGTGAATATAAACCTATCATTTTAATGTGCAATAGGTTTCGAGAATCCGAATAGTGCATGCTGTCACCTGGCTGGTAGATTTGGAGGCTTGATTCCATGCAATTATAATTCAAAAGTTTGTGAGGATCGGTCTAAGTATGTTTTCTGGGATACTTACCATCCTAGTGATGCTGCCAATGTTGTCATTGCTCAACGTCTCTTAAATGGTGATACTCGTGACATCTCACCTATGAACATTTGTCAACTTTCCAAAGCTTAATCCAATGGATGAATTGGAAATTTTGTGGGAAACTAGAAAAGGAAATCTACTTTGTAAAATGCACAGGAAATTGTACCCATTCTCAATGAAGTAAAAAATAAATTATCAAAGGTAGATATGGTCTAATTTTGTGGAAACCCTCCCAAGCATAAACTCGCTTTAAAAAATACTAAGATGTCTAAAAATTATCATACAATTTCGTGCATGCTCGAGAAAAATTATAATTAATTTCATTTTAATTTGATGTAAAATGCAATCTTAAAATTAATTTATATATATAACAATATATAAATAAGATATATTTATTTAGTGTCCACTTTTTCAAAAACATTTATATCCTTACCGCTATATTACTACTACTACTACCAAACATAGTTTCTAATTCAATAAAAATATATCTTTCCTTCATATGTAAGCAAACATGAAATTTTTTAATATTTTGACATTTTTTTTAGAAGTTGTCAATTGATCCTTCAAACTAATTACTTTCTTTTCCAATTGAGAATTTTTTTAGTGGAATTAAAATTTGAAAAATTGCACCCTACATCACTAAATCTTGTGGATGATATTGAAATGCAATACTATGTAGACTTCCTAATCCCAAGTACATTTGAAACTTATTAGATCTTGTGGATGATTGAAACTTATTATATTGATTTGGATAAACTTTTTCTTAAGTACATTTGAGAGAGAAATTAAAATTAAAATTAATTTATGTATAATTGTATAAAATATTTTTTAAAATTCTCCTATATTGATTTCTTTAAAAGTTAATTTTAATAGTTATAACAAATTATTTTTTCCCTCTCCTAAAAATACTTATAGAAAATTTTATCTAAGTATGTTATTTCACCATGAACCTATAAAATAAATAAATAAATAAATAAACTATGTGAACCGTTCTATATTTACGTGCAACTCAAGACGTAACATTTTACCAAATGTTCCAATCAAATTGTTATGTCAAAACTTGCGGTGGTCAACATGTTATTAAAAATAAAATAAAAAAGAAATATCATTTGATTAAATGCTGGTTTATAATATAAAAAAATGAGCTTTATTTATTTTTTTAAAAACGTAGTTATGCAAGAATTATTGTAGTCAATTTAGTGGTAGAAATTTAGGATAGTATACACAAGACTTTAACTTCAAATATTATCCTAACTTCGTAATTCTTATAAATAAGAAAAGAATGTATTTGTGTTAGCAAAGTATTGGAATGAAAGGTTAATCAACTATAATGACAATATTAGCTAGGGGTGGTAAAATAGGATAGTTTGATCCATTGTGGCCTGTTTTACCATCAAGTTGATTCATTTGTAGAAATTGAATTAGAAACTTTGACTCATTCGAATGATCTGTCAAAAATGGAAAAGAAAATTATTTTAATATTAATTTAAATGAGCAAATTTAATCAAAGGATCATAATATATATTTTTCCTTCAACTCTATTATAACATAAAAATATTAAATTATAAATTACTAAAAGTCTTTCTCTTTTAATGAAAAAAAAAATACTACTAATAGTCTTTTAAAAACACAAAATTATAATAGTCTTTAAGAATCACAACATAAATATTAGTAGTTTTTCAATAGTAAAATTATACCACAACATTTTACCACAAAATAAATATAAACAAAATTATAATGTTATTAAATAAGTCACAAAATAAACTTAAAATAATATTTAAAAATAAAATGGATTAACAGATTAACAGGCTCCAACTCGTCCTTTAATCTGATAAGTTGACGAGTTAAATTGAACAAATAATAATATTTATTCCACTCCTTTAATTTTTGTCAAGCTGGTAAACCAATCCATTATGCCACAGCTTATCACCCCTAATATTACCTAATTATTATTTGAAAAGAAAAACATGACTTCTTAGAGCTAAGAAAACTCATACCTCGTTATAATATGACATAACACTTGATTAGTAAGATAAGATTTTGAAAGCAATCTTTATATATGACAATAATATATAT